CCCCAAAACCCCAAAACCCCAAAACCCCAAAACCCCAAAACCCCAAAACCCCTTAAAGAGTTAAATCTGTTGAATAAATTTGAAATTATCTAGTTTATTTCTTATTTCTGAGTCTATTCCAAAATCCTAAAAATAAAATGACAATGCATACCTTTCCTTGGTTTTGAGCCTGAGGTTGATCGTGCTCCTCTATTTTTCTTGATGTCATCTTCATATTGAGCTGTTATTAGTCTTCTACATTGTTGGATTTCATCAATCTGCAGCTTATTTAAATAAAGCATTGAGAACACCTAGATATTAGTTCCAAAGTCATACAGTGAGGAGTAGCATCTCATTATTTTTATTAGTAAGTGGAGTCTCTTTAAGGAACTTGATCAAGATATCCTTGATGTGTTCTATTTCTTTCTCCCCCTTTTCTGGTTCTATTTTTATGTCATCATATAATTTACCTGTTTCTTTACTGTCATTAATGTTTGTATTGTTGAATTTCTGTGCATCAAGCTCTTTAATCTCATCTTTCAGCTTCTGATTTTGACCCATAATTATATTGTTCAATTTCTTTAGATCTAAGTTATCCTCTTCTAATTTGGAAACTTTTGATCTAAGATCGAAGGTGTCATCGGATTTATCTATTGTCCTGTTTTTATTTGATCCTCCAAGACTGAGATCTTGGACATCGAACTCAGGCCTAGAAGATCCTTCTCTGGAAGCATTGGATTTATATTCTTCTTTCTCTGACAAGAAATCTTTTCCTGGTGCTGAGCTATTCTTTAAGGATTCTATCTCATCATTTTTATTGGATAGCTCTTCCATAAGTTCTTTGTTTTTGTACATTAAGTCATTGGTTTTCTGATAATTTTTCAAGAAATTTTCTACAGTTTCATTAGTTCCATGGCTGATATTACCAATGATGGAATTCAGTTCTTCGACCCGTTTAGCCAATTTTCGATTGGAGATCTGAAGATCATTGATCTCTAATTTAGAATTTTGCATGTTCTCTTGGAGGTTATTGATATCATCTTCATATTCAATAATTTTAATATCATATTCTTGCAATTTTTCTTCAGCTTCTTCATCAAAGGATTCGTTTAGGCAAAAGTATGAAATCTTGTGCCCAAATCTAATCTCTCTGCATTCTTTCAAAAGTTCTAGCCTCTCCAGTCTAAGGTCAGTCAGCTTGTCTGAATAATCTGATACTATTTTATTAATTTGTTGATTTTCAGTGATATCTTCTTCTCTCATACTTTGCGGTAGGAAATCATGTAAATATTCCTTTTCTTCTGCTGTAAGATCTACCTCTCTAATCCAGTATTGAGGAATATCAACTTCTTGGTCATCAATATCTTCCTCTATCAAGAACCAAACTTGAGATTCATGAGTGACACATTTGAGGACTCTGATAGAGTCATTCATTGATCCTTTTAGCTCTTTCAGGACTGCAATTTTACCTTTCTCGTCAATATTTTTCTGGATGATCTTTTTCTCTCAAGACTTGATGAACTGTTTATAATCTTGTTCATATTGCTCTTTGAGTTCATCAAACGCTTGAACTTTCATTTCTCCAATACTGTGTTTGATTTCATCAACTCTTCTCTCGACAACATCCATTCTTTCAATGAATTCCTTGCCTTCTTCAGTGTCACGGCTACTCTCTGGGGCGTTGTTTGCTCCAGCCAGATTTTTCGATTCAATAATTTTATCTTGTGCATCCTTTAACTCTTTTTCAGTGAACTTAAGTTTTTCATTAATTTCAATCTTTTCTTCCTGAAGTTCGTCTATTTCTTTAAGCAGGTTCTTGATCTCTGCTTTCAGTTCTTTTGTAGTGTCTAGAGGTTAGAAATTTAGCTTACCTTCGTTTTGAGAGGCCTCTTGGTGGTTTGTTTCTAAAGCTGCCTTTTCAGCTTCTTTAGCCTCTCTGAGTTCCTCCTTTAATGTGTCAATATCGTCCTCCATTCTCTCAATGATTTCTCTGAGGGATTCTATTTTGTCTAATTTTTCTTCTATATTTTTGTTCTTCTGAGCAATTTCTTCCTGCTTAGTGTCAACCATCTTAGATTTCTCCTTTAGATCTGATTCTTTCTCTGCAAGTTGCTGTTCTAATTTATTTACTTTGGAAGACAAAGACTTGTTATCAATGGTCAGAGTAGACACTTTTTGTTCTAGTTCTTGTAAAGAGCTCTCTTCATTAGATCTTTGGGAATTCAGGTTAGTCAGATTAGAAGAAAGAAGCTCATTTCTTTGTTCTAGGTCTTGGATTTTAGATTCAAGAGCTTCTATTTCAATTTTAAGATTGGAATTTTGCTCCTTTAGCTCTCCATTTACAAAAGTAAGATCCTTCTTTTCTTCCAGAAGTTCTATATTTTCTTTTTCAGCTTTTTCAAGATTCTCCTCTACTGATGTTTGCTGCTTTTGAGCTAAAATCAATTGTGAAATAGTAATTTACCTGTCTCAAGATCTAAAGCAATTTTGTTTATCCTATCAAGAGATTCCTCTTTAATTCTTTCTGTGAATAATTTTAATTCTTTCTCTAAAATCTCATAAAAATCGTCTAATGTGGCTTCTTCGTCGCTCATATTATAAGAGTTCTCATTGTAATCGCAATATTCAATTAACAACTTTTTGATTTTAGCTTTGTATAAATGTTTTTCTGCATTAAATTGCTCTAGTAAATCGCTTGCCTCTCCAATAGCCTGTTCTTTTTCAATGGTTTGCTGCTCTTTTTCTTTAGCTTGCTCCTTTTTAATCCTCTCAAGATTGAGCTTATACTGACCGATCTCAGTTTCTAATTTTGATTGAGCTTCATTAAGATCATTGACAGTTGCTCTAAGTTTCCTATTTTCATCTTCAAGCTCATTTATTTTGTCTCCCATTGTTGAAATCAGCTCAGTACTGTCATCTTGCTCTCTAGCATCCTCTAGAGCTTTCTTGGCTTCTTCAAGTCTCGAGATTTTATGCTTTAATTCTCCGTTCTCTACTCTAGATTTAGTGAGATCATCTGAAAGGGAATTATTGGTATCCTCATAGTCATCTAGATCACTCTTTAAGTCTTTTATTTTTGATTCCAAATTTCTAATTTCTAATTTTTTAGTGTCAATTTCTGCATCTTTCTTAGTTATTGATGTTTTGAGAGCATTAAGCTTTGTCTCTACACCATGTTTCATATCTTGAGCATCCTCTAACAAGACTGATTGCTCTTCAAAGCTCTTCTTCAAAGCCAAATGATCTTTCTTTAATGATGTGTATTTAGCTTCAGCTCCAGTCTGGTCTGTTGAAGATCTTGTAAGCTCATCATTTGCTTCTTCTAGTTCATTCTGAAGCTGAACAATCTGGGCATTAAGATTTTTCTTCTCTTTACTAAGTGATTCATTCAAGTGACGTATTTCATTGGTAAGTTCTTCAACTTGATCCTCTTTATCTCTAAACTCACTCTTTAATTTTTGAATTGTTGTATTAAACTGTTCTCTTTCTTTTCTGAAATCAACTTGTAGTTGCTCTATATGGTCCTCTTTTCTCTTAGCATCTTCCATAAATTTCTTGAGGGAGTCTAAATCGATTACGAGTCTTTATTACCGCTAACTTTGGTGTCTGTATCACTACTAGCTAGCATCTGACTTAATTGGTTTAAATCATCTTTTAGCTGCTTATTTTCAATTTCTTGATCTTGAATAAGCCTCTTGTTCATAGTCTCTTCTAATTCTTTCTTGTCAAGTTCGGTCTGTAATCTTCTGTGCTCCTTATCTAGCTTGACTCACTTTAAGCTTAACTCATTCTTTTCCTCTTCGAGATCTTTGTTAAATTTGTTCTGATCCTGAGCCACTTGTAATGTGTTCTTAAGACTGTTTATTTTGGAATTCAGCAAGATTATTTCTGACTCAAGTTTTGTAATCTTCTCGGCAGACACCACAGCTTCGTTTTGTAACTCTGTGTTTGCCATTTGAGCATCTTTAAGGTCTTTACGAAGAGATTTTATTGTCGAAAGACTGGAATCAGAATTTTGTTGACATTGAGATAGTTCTTCCTGTGCTTCAGAAAGAGAAAGTGTAATTTGATCATTTGAAGAAATTAGCCTTTCAACTTCTTTTTGGAGCTTAGATGCATTCTTTCTAAGATCTTTTACTTCAGTATCTGTTGCATCTTTTTCATTACTTAACTCATCAAATTCTGTTTTTGCATCTGCTAGTTTTTGCATCAGATCAGAAATTTGTTTTTGATGAGTATTTTTAACTGCTCCAAGTTCTTCTGATTGTCTCTTAGTGTAAACATCTGAAATCTGCTTTTTCTCTTCTTCAAGCTTATTCTGAAGCCTTGTAATCTCTCTATCTTTTTCAGATATTATAGTAGTTAACTCCAACAATTCATCATCTTTTTCTCTAAGTTGGCTTGAAAATTCAATATTTTCTGTTTTAACTTCAGAGACTGACTGTGCCATTTCTTCTCTGATTTGCTTGAGTTGCTGATCAAACTCTTTTTCCCTCTGCTTATAGCTCTCAGTAATGTCCTTTAATTCTTGTTTAGACTTCTCAAGATCATTCTCTAAGAGTTTCTCTTTTTGAGTGGAGTTTTGGGTATATTCTTGTCTTTGAGCCTCCAAAGTTTCTCATAATTCATCATAGTCCGAAGATTTTAGAGAGAGCTTTTGCTCTAAATCAGAGAGCTTGAGTTTATACTTTCTCTCTGCTTCTTGGAGTTTGCTTTCATAACTTTCATTATGATAAGTTAGCTCCTCGATTTGAGAAAGATGTGTTGCCTCTACATCTTTTTGAGCTTTAATCTTTTGCTTTAAATCCTCTTCAATTTTTGAAAATCCTTCCTCAAGCTCAATTCTCAGTTTTTCAGATAGTTCATCTTCCTTTAGCTTTTGAGCTTGGGTCTCTTTTCTTAAATCTTTCTTAAGAGAAGAAACTTCAGTATGCAATTGGGTAATGATTTCATCTTTTTCCTGAGTAATCTCATTAATTTCATCAGAAGTTCTAGCTCTAATATCTTTGATCTGCTCTTTCAGACTTTCAATCTTTGCATCGAGTTGTTGATTTTCTTCCTCAAGTTTTAGAGTCTCACTAAGCTCAATCTTTAGGTCTTTTATCTCCTTTGATCTTGATCGTTGCTCTTCAATAAGTTTATCGCTTAGCTCATTGATTTCAGTATTTTTATCAGCAATGTCTTGAGTCAACTTTTCGATCAAGTTTGTCTTGCTCTGTAGAGTCTGTTTCAGGCTTTCAATTTCATGCTGATTCTCTTGCATCTCTTCAAGTTGTTTTTCTAATACGTTAGCATTTCCTAGTTTCTCTTTAAGAGAATTAATTTCTCTTTGATGCTTTTCTGTCAGAGTATTTATCTCTGCTTCGTATGTCTGATTAGCAATAGAAGACTTTCCAGACTCTATTGTTTCCATTCTTTGACGCACTTCTTTAATGACCCTTTCCAGTCTCTTTTCTTTCTCTCCAAGTCGAGCGGTGATTGTTCTAATTTGACCTTCTAAAGATTTTTGAGTATCCTCTATCATTTCTTCAGCCTCAATTTTTAATTCTTTCAGTTTTTCTTTGTGAGTATTTTCACTCGCTTCTGCACTAAGAGTAATTTCCTTTGTATTCTCCTTTTGCTTTCTAATCTCTTTCTTGAGGTCGCTTACTTCCTGCTCTGCCTTATTAAGTCTAGTCTTATAAACTTCCAACAACCCCGACTCTCCATCAGAGAAGGAGTCGTCTTGGTTACTATCTTTATGCCTTGACTTGATCTTTTCTTTAAGCATTGCATCCTTCTCCATTCATAATTCTTGTAGGATATTTCTTTCCTTACTGACTTCTTTTGCTTTCTGCTTATAATTTTCAATTTGTTTTGTCAGTTTTGAAACTTTCTTAACTAATTTTTCGATCTCATCATCTTTGTCAGTAGTCTCATTACTGTAGTAAACTCTGTTCAGATTTTTAGGGTTTACTCTTTGCTCAGAATTAACTCTTGGGTTAGTTTTAGGGCTAGCCCCTCTACTACTAAGTACAGTGTTGTAAGTAGCATAAAAGTCTTTTTGGTATGCTGTAGAAGCCATTATTTTATTTCTATTCTTAAGCAATTCGTTAGTCAAGTTCTTAGATTTTTGCTCAAAGATCTTTTTGTAAGAAGAAATGTTATACTTTTTCCCCCTTACAGCTTTTTGGAGGTCTTTCAAAGCAACTTGGAAATCACTAGAAGCTTCTACAAGGCGATTATATTTATTCTGATGATCTTTGCTTGACTTTACTTCAGCTCTTATCTTTCTCTCTAACTGCTTTATTGTAGAGTCATATCTCTGGGCAGTTTCACTTTCTTTGCTTTGAAGTTGATGATGGAGGTTATTTATCTTGTCAATTAGAGCTGACTCTTTTTCCATGCTCATCTGCTGTTCAATTGCAGAGCCTCTTCTTTGAGCTTTTGCACTATTAAAAGTTCTATATGGCTGATTTGGAGTGAGAAATCTTCTTCTTCCAGGATAATCTCCATATTGCTCCAACATACCATCAAGCTCCTGTATTATTTTCTTTGTTTCATTTCTCTGAGAATGAATAAGATCGGATTTATTCTCAAAAACAGGCAGCTCTGGTTGAAATCCAGCTTCTTGGAGATCCTTCAAGAATCTATCAGTATTTTCAACAAGATCTACCAAATGTTCCTCATTTTGATAGATAAGTTCTTGAGTAAAGCCAAGCTTCTCACTCGTTTTCTGAGAAATTTTGTGATAGTTGGAGAATAGAGTCTTAATGATATTGATATATTTATGATTATCTTCTTCTATTTTCTCTGCATTTGAAGTAGGAGATCTCATAAAATAATCCCTTCTCCCTTGACTCCTATCTCTAAATGGTGGTTTAGCATCTCTAAAGCCAACTGAAGAGCTAAATTTAGCCTGATGAGAATGAATAGATTCTTTCTCGAACTTGCTGTTCATAGTTTGCCCCATCATTGGATTTTGCTCTTCTAATGAATTATCAAGATGGGAATATTTTGCGCTCAAATGCTCGTATGCCCGCCTTTCATTTAAATCTCTGTTGCTAACCTTCTCTTTATCTGAATCATCAGATAAAGCATTTTTGATGATTACTAAAGAAATTATTAGATACCAGAAGCGTTGATAAGCATTTTTAAAAGCTGTGAGTTTCAAATAAACTACCACAAAAGGAAATAATTTGAACTGTAAAAGTTTTATTTTTAAATCAGAAATGAAGAATAATTTAGTTAAAACAAAAAGATTATTAAAAATATATTTAAAATCAGAGTTCTTCTCGAATCTCCAGTAAAGCACAGTCAGAGCTAAAGACTTACTCTTCTGGTTGCTTGTTAAGTTCTGAGTGAAATTATTCCAAAGAGTTTTCTGGTCAGTTCTAAAGCAATCTTGGAGCTCATTAATCGTATTTTTTTTAATCTTCAATCACTCTCTTGCTGTATCTTCATATTCATTCAAAAATTCACCAAAGTCTTCTAAGATATTCAAGTTCTCTTCTCTAGAGTCAGTTTCTTGGTATTGGTCAGTGTAAATGTAGTTCGGATTCATTGGAGATTCTGCCATGCTTTATTTACTAATAAATATTTATTAATAATGAGTATTTAAATTATTTAAATTTTGATCATCCCTAAAGGGGTTTTGGGGTTTTGGGGTTTTGGGG